CAGTGGCTCTTGGCTCATGGACGTGCTCGGTGGCATGTGATCCTGCATGCACAGATACAGAAGAGGAGAAGCCATTGACGTTTGAGGCCAGCCTGGACTATACAGTGTGACTCTGTCTCAAAGTGTTGTTTTGTGTTGAAAGGGCATGTGCTGCATCTGTATTTGCTTGTGTTAATGGCTGATGTCCTCTGACCCTTACTATGGTATCTTTCTGTGTCATGATTTCCTCTTTCAGGTTTCCTTCTTCATCAGTGAAAACACAAGTGGTTTCTGTGGGTTGGTTTTGTGTATCCTGTTACTGTACTAAATTTGTGTTCTAGTTGTAACGGGTTGTGTGTCTGTTTAATTGGGGGAATAGTCCATGTGTAGGGACATGTCATCCCAAAGTCAGGTGAGCTTTCTTTCTAATTGAGTGTCTGTATTCCTGTATTTTGCCTGGCTAGCACCTCCAATCCTTTGACCTGAAGACGTCCATGCCTTGGTCCAGATCGTAGAGGTGTGGTGTGTGTATTTGGTGTCCTGTGTATGTCCCTCTCACAGGCACATGTGGAGGTCAGAGGATAACCCTTCAGACATCAAGTGCTGTGTCTCAGCTTATACAGCAAGCACCTTCACCACGGAGCCACCTCTGGGTTCTGTCCTTTCTCATTTAGTGTCTTTGTGCTGGATGCTGAGGAGAGCCTCAGCCCACCCAGCTTTCTCTGGAGAAGGCTCTGGCATGGAGTACCACCTTACAGAATGTTCAAGTGTTCTTTCCTTTGAGTTTTTAAAAATGTTGAGAAGAAATTGTATGGAAGAGTTAACCTGTGACGTCAGGACTCTTCTTTGTTGTGTGGTTTTTGTTCATTTGTTTGAGGGATGCTGTTTGGTCTTTTGAGATAGGGTTTCACTTTGTAGCCCAGGCTGTCCCAAAATTCATAGAAGGCCTCCTGCCTGGCTGTTAAGAGGCCTTGGTTTCTAGCCAGTGATGGTAGCACATGCCTTTAATCCCAGCACTCAGAAGGCAGAGACAGGAAGGTCTCTGTGAGTTCAAGACCAGCCTGGTCTACAGCTTGATCCAGGAAACCCTGTCTCGAGAAACCAAAAAGGGGGAGGGGGGGGCGATTTTGATTCTGGTTCTAGCTCCTTTCTAATATCTAGTTGTGAGCCTGTTCCAATTTTCAGTTTGTGATATCATTTAAAAAAATTTTTTTTCTTTATTTAGTTTTTGTGTTAGTCTATTTTCTGCTGCTGTAGGTTGGAGACTTTATAAAGAACAAAAAGTTGCTATAGCTCGATGTTTGGGAGGATGGAAAGGCATAACATTTGCTTTCTCTCGTCTCTGGTAAAGGCCTCATGGCGAATGGCATTGAAACATGTGGAGCATGTGAGGGTGATCGCAGGAAGCTAGAGCAGCCAGATCCTCATCTTTTCCAAGGCATGCCACAGCGACCTCACGACCTCCAAAGGCTAGTCTCTTAACATCAGATCTGGGGACCAAGCTTCTAACACATCAGCCTTTGGAGACACACTTACACCTTAGCCAAACCATGGCGTTAAATGGTAAACTCAGATACTGATTGAACATGGTTTGCTGTTTGATTTCTCTGTGTAGCCCTGGCTGTCCTGGATCTCGCTCTGTAGACCAGGCTGGCCTAGAACTCAGAGATCCACCTGCCTCTGCCTCCCAAATACTGGGATTAAAGGCGTGCTCCACCACTTCCTGGCCTGTAATTTCATGCTGTGTGACAGGAATGATTCTTTGTGTAGTGTCCAGCTCTGAAGGTCTGTGGAGAGCCTGGACAGCGGGCTCAGCAGTTAAGAATGCTTGCTGCTCTCTAGAAGTCCGGGTTCAGTTCCCAGCTCCCATTGTGGCAACTCACTGCCCACCCGTAGCTCTCTGCTGGCCTCTGGGTGCTGTACACCTCTGTCTCTGTCTCTCTGTCTCTCTCTCTCATTCACACACACACACACACACACACACACACACACACACTATAGAAATCTTATAAAAAGATCTATTGAGATTTAATTTGTGGCCCAGCATTCTCTTCGGATGACTGACTGGGCAATAAAACTTTTAGATTTTAAACTTGGGACATGTGGGTTTTATTGTAGAAGTTTTGAGATAAATGTGTAGTTGAAGTGTCCTTTTTAATGAGATCTCATTACCTTCTGAATAGTGTCAGAAGCTGAATGGTAGTGGGAAAGGTTATCATTTATGAAATATCGAACCAGTGACCTTAGCTATTCAGTTGTGATGAAAGGCCCAATCTAACCTTTATTGAATGTGATATTTATTAAAAATGAAACTTCTCATTTCCATCATTTAATCAATAGTACTCTAAGCCGTTTGTTAATATGATTAAAGGTGGCATTGCAGACTAGATTTCTGCCCCGCCCCCACCACCCAGACCCTTGGCTTAATTTTAGTAACTAGGAAGTGTCTTCTAACTTAGATCACTCAAACTCATTTAATCCTGTACTAGTAACTTTTATAAGACACAAAAAAGAACAATGAAAGTTTTCAGGAAGAAGGCCAGACCTAGTTCCACACACCTAGAATCCCAGCACTGAAGGAGCTAACATAAGACAATGCATATGAGGGTCATATTGAGGCCAGCCTCGGATGCACAGGAAGACCCTGATGTCATCTGCCTCGCAAGCCTGACAACCTGAGTTTGATCTCTAGAATGCATGTCAGGATTACCCTCTGACCCCTCCATGTGCACTGTGATACCCCCATACCATACATAGAAACACACTGTACACAATAATACCATTTTTTTCCCCAAATAAATACAGGGCCCACAGTGATGCTTGATAGAAGTAAAAAAATTTATAGGAAGAAGCTAATGTGTAACTGCTACTTAGGAAACAACAGCTCCTTTTAAATCAAAGCATCGAGCTATCTGAAGGGTGTATGTTTTATTTTCTATTGTCGACTGTTGTAAATGCCAGGGTTTCATGCAGGTGATGTTTAGTGCAGCAAGAAATGTGTTGCCTGACATTGTCAGCAGGGAAAAAGCCTGAGGCAGGAAGAAGCGAGAGAAGGCTCGGCGATGGGACCACTGAGGTCTAAGCACAGTTGGTGGGTGTGGTGCAGGTCCACTTTGCCAGTGAGTGCCCCCTCTGACCACCCCAGTGCTGGCAGAGGGAACTGGAAATGGAGCTGGCGTGTGCCCACCAGAGCTAAGGGACAGTCTTGTCCAGGTTTCACAGGGAGGAGATGGGTTCTGAAGAGCAACGCTTTGTAAGTTTGTGTTGTGTGTCGGGCACTGTGGAAGCCCCTGTGCAGCGTCTCACTGCAGTGTCACACCAAACCTGGGAGGAAAAGCTAATGATCAGAAAGCTCCCTGCCCAGGATCCCAGGGCTTGGAAGCGGCATCTCCTGGGTCCAGACACAGGCCACTGGACTCCTAAGCCTGCCATCTCAGCCACTGGAATGGAAGGTCAGCATAGCGCCGCCCAGTAAATTAGAGATAACCAGCCTGAGACAGAGGAGAGGCAGCAGTCGGCTCAGACCTGCTGGCTAGCACATTCTCAAGGCTGCCCCAGGGAGAAGGTAGAGACGGGGACAGCAGGGCAGACGTCTGCCTGTTTCTTGGGGTCAGGCGGGTGTTCAGTCTTGAGATCCCTGACCCTCTGATGGAGCAGCTGGGGACCTTGGGCAGCTCCTGGTTCCGAGTGGCAGTGGTACAGCCGAGTCTGTCCAGCAGACAGCTGACTCTGTGGCTAGCCTAGAGGACAAGCTGCGGGCTCCAGCCTTGCTGCTGCTCTTCCGAGTAACAGCTGCATCCGGCTTTGGGGAGGTCAGCCCTGGGCCGGCCAGCCCTGTGCCCACTGCACACCTTCCCAGCACCTTGTCTCCTGGGAGTGCCTCAGGATCTGGTTTTCAGCACCTGTCTGGTGGTGCTGATGGGAAATGGGTAAAGTCATACTAGAGATTATTACTAACACACAAATCAGTTTCACATCTTTGTGGGTAGGAGGAAAAAAGAAAAAAGGGAAGGCTTAGTTCTGGAATGGAAAGTTTTTGATAGCTCATAGAGAAATGTCATGTGACTTTATTACTACCCCTGAGCTCACTGTGTCCTGTGACTTCTTCTTGAAGACCTGCATCCCAATACCTGACGCTAGAGCATGGTCATCCTTGGTGACCCATTTCCACCTAGATGGCTGATCTCTCGGGTCCTTCTTGCATATTGTCGGTGACCCCACAGGATGGTTCCCTTGTCGAATGGGGGAGAGGTACTCCTTCAGTATCACCTTTGATAGACCACATTGGTCTTAGATGCCGATTCTAGGTCTTCCCAGAGACAGACCAACAACCAGCTAAGCCAGACAGTGTTCCCAGAGCCCTGGAGGACCCTGAAGGGGCTTTTGGTGGCTGTTAGCCAAGGATAAAGTGTTTATGCTGGCCCTGTTCCTGCAGCCCAAGCCCGTGTCTCCACAGGTCTGTCAGGAAGGACCTTCTGTATACAGCATTTCCTCTATAACCTCCTGGTTGCTCCAAGCTAATAGAGCATTTTCCACATTCACATTTAGAGGCCAGGTTAGGAGTGTGTTACTTTTACAGCCTTGTCTTTGGCTTTCAAGAATTAGTCTTTGTTAAGCCCTCTCTGTCAAAGATGGATTCTGTGGACATCACCTGTGCCTGTGGCACCCAGCTCTCCTGCCTCCTGCTTGCTGTTTGCTGGGGGTGACTTCATTGACTTGGGTTCAGGGGTAAGCGGGGGTCTGGTGTTTGAGCATGGTGAGCCAGGGTGAAGACAGCCATTCGAATTCCCTCAGATAGCAGTGTCCAGCAAACCCAGTTGCTATCGATGTACATAATTGATCACTTTATTAACTGTGGAAACGAAGCCTTATTGGAGAATAAAGCATAACTTGATTATGTCCTGTGCAGAGGGCAGATACAGTGGAATATGGCTGGCGGGTCCCCATTTCGAGGCTGATTGTGATAATGATAGTGTTTAAGTACCATTGATTGTCTTCTAATTGGATTTCTCTCTCTGTAGGCCTCTTCTGAAGAGCTGAAGGCTGCCTACCGGAGGCTGTGCATGCTTTACCATCCGGACAAGCACAGGGACCCCGAGCTCAAATCACAAGCAGAGCGGCTGTTTAACCTTGTTCACCAGGCTTATGAAGGTCGGTGGGGGCCTTGGCTTCGTGTGCGCAGACATTCGATTTGTAAGCGACTTGATTTGTAGAAGTAGAGAGATGGAGTCCTTAGAGGTATATAAAAGAGGTGCTTGGTTTGGTGCTTTGTACTGACAGAGCCCTCTGAAAGAGTCGTATTTTGCTTTGGAAATCAATATATGTCCAGTAAGAAGAAAATGAGAGTCCAAATGAAGAAATGGGCCAGGTCTGAACGGAGGGTTACTGAAGCTCCAGCTGGTCCCCGTGTCTTCTGGGGTGGGGGTGCAGTGGGGTAGGGCTGATACTTAGAAAGCCGCTTTCTTTGTTCCCTTTTTTGTGAGAGGCTACAAAGACTTTTTTTTAACCCTAGTGGTTTTATTGGTTCTGTATCAGTTGGTGAAAGAAAGGACTGACAGAAGCTGGTGTGAGAGCGTGGTGGGGAGTACAGTCTAGTCACTCGGGAGCTTAGGTTTATGGCTTACTTGTAATAAATGAAGAAAACTAGGATGTTTGTCTCTGGGAAGGTGGAAGGCTCTGGAAAGAGTGAAGGTGAGCTTCATGCTACCAAGTTGGACATTTTAAAGTGATTGGAATGGTAAAATGTTTTGTCGTGATTTAAAAAATAAAAGCAAAAAAAAAAAAAAAAAAGCAAAAACATTAAATCACTCTTAGATTTATAGATTAGGAAAAATCAGTTACTCATTCCAGATCCCTGTGACCTGCTCCTTAACGAGAGGCCAAAAGTTAGATGATGTGCCTTTCTATGAAATAACAGGCGTCTTCGCTGCAGACAGAATAGCAGGTGGCGTATTTTACCTTGAGTTTTCCCAAGAAGTTATATCTTAATGACCAGTACAAAGTGGGCAGCAGCACATGATAGACAGGAGTCTGTGCTGTGTCACCCAGCGTGACTCACGGGCTGCATGGGTGCTGGTGGTCACCACAGCCCATTGTGTCCTGTGGTTGGACTGCCTCCCTGTCAAAGTGCTGCAGCAGCAGACCTGGCTGCACTCTGTTCAGCAAGTGCTGGCTTCTCTTATTAAATCAGTTTTCTCAACAAGTTTGGCTCCGTGTTTTCCAGTGGTCAGCATTTCTTTCTTCTCCATTAGATTTGAATATGGATAAGACTCATTTGCATCGCTTTTTAATTAGGCTTAAAAATATATGGGAACCTCAGAGGAGAAAGTATGCAAAGATCCCCAACAGAACTCAGAGTGGAGCAGGGGCAACTGTCAGTCTCGCTCACAGTCTATTTTGGGCCTTGGAATAATTCTCTCCCTTGTTGAGGAATCTTCTCATTAGGTGATGTGGCCAACAGTATTGTGAATGATACTCATGTATTTTTAAACAGATTCAAAGCTGGGTGTTGTAGCTCACACCTGTGATCCCAGGACTCGGGAGATAGAGGCAGGAGAATTGGGATGAGCCTGGGTCATATTAAAACAAAATTTGCAGAGGTCTTGGGGTTGGTTAGTAGTGCTCAAGTCAGAGTACACCACAGAGCAGAGCTTTAGAGAAGGCTGTTCTTGGCAGGGAGGCATGGTTCTCTGCCCCTAGCATCCCCCCACATAGCAGATGGAAGCATTAGAACCAGAAGTTGATGGACACCCCCAGCTACATAGCAAACTCAAGGCCAGCCACGTCTACAAGAAAACTAAAACCTAAAGCCAAATAAAAACCACTGTCTTTTGGAGCTGCCAGAGCAGGCTGGACCCTGGAGAAGCCCAGGTTTTCCCGTCTGTGGCCTCTAAACGCCCTCCGGTGGAAGGAGAAAGCCTTAGGAAGATGCAGCGAAAGAAAGACAGTCTCCATGAAGACTGGCTAGGAAGGAAAGGCTGAGGAGGACGTACCTCATGGCCTTGACACTGGGTTGTCAGGACTGAAGGGGAGTTTGTGCTGAGTGAACATGTTTGATTTTTTTTTTCCTTGCAGTGCTTAGCGATCCCCAGACAAGGGCCATCTATGACATCTATGGGAAAAGAGGGCTGGAGATGGAAGGATGGGAGGTAAGAGAAACAGAGTCACGTGAGGACGCACACACCGTGGCTGGCCTCCTGGGGCCTGTGATGGACCTTGTAGCTGTAATGCACTGTGGCATCAGCACGTTCCGCTCCGCCCCTGCCTGGTAGCAGAAGCGTGGCAAGCCATTCACTTCTTTGTGCTTCCATGTTACCTGAAAAATGAAGTTGTGTAGAAAAATGAGCATGAAAATTAATTGTAAGACCCCAAATTGCTACACAATATGTAGGTGTTGTTACTTAATGTTATTGGAAGACCGATGTGCTAGTGCCGTGGGATCCCATCAGACATTACTGAGAGATGTGCAGCGGATCCAGTTTCCTGCCTTCATCCTGCAGAACTCCCCTGGAAGTTCTTGTGGTATTTGAACTCATGCTGTCTGTCCCTTCTGTCCCTGACATGAAGCCCATCAAAGGCTTGAGGTGTGGTGGGAAGAAAGCAGAACTGACCAGTGCCAGTGAGGGCTCGTGGACCACCTTCCACCTGTGTCCATGCTTTGATGGACACATCACGGTGAACTGTAGCCGCTGAGATTTGAAGCCTAGGAGGTCTTGTGTGAATATCCAGCAGTTGTCATCTGAAGCACCAGATTAGCAGCACTGGACCTGAGTCCCCCGTGAGGTGGCTGCCAGCTCTGAGGAAGCCCTGCCCTTTGAACTAGGCTGTGTTCACACTTGGTCCCATCCTCTCCACTCCATACTGTCATCGGGCCCTTGTCGCAGCAGGTTCTGCGTGTCCTGCCTGGCTCGCAGGGTGTCTGATTTAGGGCCTCTAGCTTACTGGAAATCTCAGTATTTCATTGTCACTTTGCATTGCTTACCCAGATGGAAAAACAAGGTCAGTTGTGTGTCCAGACTGTCCTCAGACTTTGTATACCACTTAGATTAGTCACCACAGTTGAGCGCTGCAGTCAGGGCCACTGGCTAGGTGACCCGCATCACAGACTGGGGTTTTGGTTTCTGGCGTTGTTTCAGCCCTCCTGGAGTGGTGGGATCCTCTGGCAAAATATTACATGATTACCTCTCACCAAAACAGGAGATATCTCTCACTAGCATGAAGCAAAGCCAGGCTCAGCTGCAATTGTACAGGATGTAGCCAGTCACAAGTTGTGATTGGATAAACTTCATGTGCGTAGTTTTAGGAAATATTTTAAGGAAATAAAATTCTCAGTAAGTCTGCAGGTAAACGGCCAGGTATGATGGCTCACAGGAGTAATCCCAGCTCTTGGTAGGCAGAACCAGGAGTGGCATTAATTGGAGGCCAGCCTAGGATGTGTAGTGAGTTCCAAGCCAGCTTTGGCTCCATAGAGCAGCAGTTCTCAACCTGTAGGTCTTGATCCCTGTAACAAACTTCTATCTCCAAAAAAAATTTACATTACAATGCACAACAGTAGCAAAATTACAGTTGTGAAGTAGCAACAAAAGTAATTTTGTGATCAGGAGTCACCAGAGCATGAGGAACTGTATTCAAGAGTTGAAGGATTAGGAAGGTTGAGAACCACTGCCCCAGAGGATCTTGAAAAAGCAAAACAGACAAACCAGAAATTAAAGCATCCTCAGGTGTTAACAGTGCCAGACATGCAGCAGGACGCCAGCTCCTTAATGCACATGGAATGTCTGAACTCTTCCTGTGATCCTTCGAGGAATGGCTGCAGTCAGTCAGAGTGTTGCCATGGGCTGTCTCTCCACAGAGGTGGCTCTGGCCATGAAGGACACTGTATTCACTGTGCTCTTGTCATCGTGTTACTAATGTTCTCAGAATACCAGTCTTGGGTGGCTGACGGTTATCCGTCACAGCCTGTTCCTCGAGTAAACATCTAGGTAGTTTGGTAAAGGATGAAGGTAATTGTGGATACAGAGTATATGACGGACCTTCAAAGCACCTAGGTCTCAGCTGTAATGCCACTTCCCTTTAATAGAGGATGTTAGGAATGAAATTGGGCCTTTTTCCCCCTAAGACAGGGTCCCAATATGATGCTCTAGAAGGCCTGGAACTTGCTGTGTAGACCAACAGAGCACCCCCAGCTTGTGATCCCAGTCCTGTGAGTGCCTGGAGCTGGCAGTGTTGATGCCAGTGCCCGTGTTGAAAATGAAGTTTCTCTTTTCTTTAGAATTGAGAAAGTCAAACTGAACTCTTAACAGTCTCGGCACTCACTCCTGGCTGTCAGGTAGAGTGGGAAGCACACCATTCAGCGTGCCTGCAGACTGCGCTCACGGGCACAGCCTTGGCTGAGTCAGCTGCAGGCTGTGGCCCTGTGCAGAGACTGTCTGAGAAAGTCCGCCTCTGTGGGGAGCAGTGATGCAGCCAGTGTCATGAGAGGGGACCCAGACTGCCGCAGAGCAGAGGCAAGTGTGAGAAAGAATGTCAGTGGGAAGCTCACAAAAGCTGAAAAGTCTGCATCTGGCCAATAGAAGTGTGCAGTGCTGATCGCCTTGACGGATGATCCATGGCCACCTGAGATGCTGCCATTGAGGCTGGAGAGATGGCTAAGCCATTAAGAGCACTGTCTTCCAGAGGACCCAAGTTCAAATCCCAGCACTTACATGGTGGCTCACAAGTGTCTGTGACTCCAATTCCAGAGGACTTGATGCCCTCCTCTGACTTCCACAGGCTTCGGGCACACAAGTGGCATGGATATGCATTTATGCATAACACAAAATTTTAAAAGTTAAAAAGAATATTTTTTTAAAAAAAGATACTAATTATAAACCAGGGATAGTGGTGCATGGTAGCACTCTGTGGGAGGCAGAGGCAGGCAGATCTCTCTGAGTTTGAGGCCAACCTAGTCTACACAGTAAGATCCAGGACAGCCAGGGCTACAGAGAGACCTTGTTTCAGAATGTTCAAAAAAAAAAAAAAGTTGACTTAGGACCCTAGACTTTTCAGACCCATCAACACCCAGGACTCGAACGGTGGACATTCTTCCTGGAGGTGAGCTGCCCGTCCCCCACCTGACCCATCATTCCCTGTAGTTGGGACTCTTTCTGTCCTGCCAGCCAGCTCCCAAGTAACCACACAGAGACTTCTTATTAATTATGAAAGCTCAGCCTTAGCTTAGGAGTGTTCCTTCCTGGCTCTTATAACCTAACCCCTATTTTATTAATCTATGTTTTACCGCGTGGCTTTTACCTCTCTCCCATTTTGTATATCCGACTCACTCTGCGTGCGCTGGCTTCTCTGCCCTCCTTCCCAGCATCCTCTCCACCACAACAATTCTGCCTCACTATCAGCAGCTTAGCTTTTTATTAAACCAGTCCGAGTGACAAATCTTCACACTGTACAAAAAGATTATTCCACGACACTTCTCTTCATGAGGTCAGTCTTCCTGACTAGCCCAGGACGGGTCCTGGTCCAGAGGAACCAGGTTTCTGTGGGTCACAGGCTGCGCGGTGCGCTCTAGGGGTGCGGAGCAGGGGTTACCAGCACGTAGATAACGTTGTAGACTCCCACACCCAGGCTGCTCTCACCATGGATCACCCCAGCTTCCGTACTTGATTAGTGCCAGGTGAAGCCCTGAGGGCAGAGGCTTATGGCTGCCCAGTAAGTGTCATTGGCATTCTGGAAGGAAGGACCAGTAGCACGGATTTTAATCGTCTTAATAATAAACCAGGAGTCAATATCAGGGTGAAAGCTGAAAGATCAGAGAGGCAGAGCAGCAGCCCCTAGAAAGACTTTTTCTTTCTT